GGGGATTTATTTTCAGGTTTTATAGCGGGTAGACAAACTCTAGCACGTGAAATTTATGCTTTGCGTCGTTATAATGGAGTTTCTCTTGATGATATCTGGAAATTATTATCAAAAATTGTTTGTGCTGCGGAATACGGGTATTCTTCGCGGAGTCCAACTCCGGAACAAACTGACAGTCCAGCAGTTTCATTCTTTCAACAGGTTGGTAATTTTTCTTATCCTTGTTGTTTAATGGGCAGTTGTAGCCATCAAAATGCTCTTTTTTATTCTCTTTTTATAGAAAAAGAACTACAAAAGGTATTCTGATATATGGCTTATTTGTACTATTTTTTACGGGATAGGTTATGGCGTATTTTGCTCTCTGAAACAAATCGGCTTGTTACAGATTGCACTCTTATGTTAATAAGAAGGAGGAAATTGAGCTGATTAATTTCAGGCGTTGTGTATCCCTGCTAATGTCGCCTGCCCACAACGTGATACCGAATTGAACAGTTTTTTATCACGTCAGGTTCATCGGCGGCGTAAACGACGTCATTCGCCAACGGAGTTTCCTTACAAAAAGATCTTCCGCTCATAATAATGCTTTCGTTGCCTGCAGACTGGTGTTTGTGATCACTTTTTTTTGAGAATGCTTCCTTTTTCGTCTTCATTATCCATCGTTTTTACTTTTCCTGTGATCGTTATCTCTGGTGATTCCTCACTGATAGTATGAATTAAAGGAAAAATTACAGAAGGTATGGGACAGAATGGAAACGAATGAGAGGAATCATGTTTTTATGTTTCAGTTTCGAGGATTTAGGGAGGTCATGAATCTATTCGACAATGGGATGGATTTCTGGAAATCATCACCGAAGTGAATGGGGAGGGACAAAGACTGTGGTAAGAGATTGTATGATGATCAGTGCTTAATCATATTTCGGCTTAAGTTAGGATATAGTAAATAATCAAATTTCATCCGGTGATATTAATCTCATTAATACAGTTTCTTTCGAATAAATGCCAAATTTTTTTTGCTAGAATCTAGTGCTTTTAAACCAGTGCATTGGATGATATAGGAAAGTGGATGTTTTTACTTGAGATTTTTGTAAGTAGGCAGATTTTTTATAATATTCAATTGATGTCTATTGTGGAGAAAAAGAGAAAAGGGGTGGTTTTATACGAATTCGATTGCTATGCTAGAACAACAGGAGTAGTAAGAAGAAGAAAATGTTTATGTTATTGTTAGGAATTTTTTTTCAATTATTATAGGAAAAAAAAGTCTCTTCAACTATTTCAATTACAAAATTCCGGTTTCGTGAGAGTGCTTTCAACCACATTTCCTGTGTTTGATTTAGAATCCCAGTTTTTTAGTTTTCTTTTGAAGGATGTTCAAGAATCATTACTAAATTTCTCTTTTTTGAGAACTACAAAGCGAAATATGTAAATTGAGCTGTTGTCTTGAAAGGAATTTTTGCTTTGATGGTATAATATCAAAATTTTGAGTAATCGGTAAATTTGTAGAAATTCCAAGACACACATTAGGTTTTTATTTTGATTATTTTTTGATTTTTTCGCCAATTATAATATAGTCCTGGATCAATTTTTCGGGTATATTTGAAAAGGTAGAATGCACACAAATGTAATTTTTTCGTTTAAATTAAAAAATGAGGGATAGCACTGTGAATTAGTTAGATCTATTAAGTGTGTACTTTTTTTTTTTTTTCAATACTAAAACGCCAGTGTGATTTGAATATTTCTGTGTTATCGAAGTGTAAACGGTTCAATAAAACATTCAAAGTGTTTGTGCTTTTTTGATCTCTGAACTTGTCGTTTCTGCTGCACAGTTCAAGTGATTCTTTTCCAAGTAATTTCAAATTTCGTCGTTATACTTGGCTAGAATCAAAACCTGAGATGTGTAGTTTCTCGCTCCGGATCAATTAGGATGATGAAGAAGGAGATGTGTTCAAATATTTTCTATTATCTGTCCCTGTATTTGATGGCAGTAACTGTGGGGAAAGTGACCCATACAGAAACTGACGACTATTTGCTTAAATTTCTAAGATATACAACTATTATTGATTTGCCTCTAAGATAGTAGTAGTATTGGATTTCCATGTTTTATCATGAAATTTGTTCTGAAATTTATGTTTTTTTTTTCAGGTTTACTTAAAATTATTTTGTGTATGGTTACAATTTTTGTTCGCCATGGTAGGTCATTTTGAGTTTTGGGATTTTGTTTATTTATTTTCTGTAGTATGGCCAGTAACTTCATATATACATTTTTTGGAGTCTTTTTCTTGGATGTGTGCATATTTTAAACACTAATGCTTGGCACTGTGAAACATGTTCCTTTCTGTTATTAGTAGAGCAAAATCATGCTTCTGTTATACTTTATTACAGTAATTATCAATTTAAACATTTACAAAAGTAAAAAATTTTCTCTGTATACAAATTAGAGTATTATGTCATTTTTTTTGTAGCCACAAAACGAGCATATTGAGCTTCATCGTAAACGTCATGGACGTCGATTGGATTATGAGGAAAGATTGTGAGGAATTTATACGTATTATTTGCTTATGATTTCTCTGTTTCGAGTTTAGTTGTGGATAGTTCCAGATCTTCCCTATTACAGTTGTGTACCGTATCAGATCGATAAATAGAGATTCTTCCATTTTTTACATATTCCCCCATTCAACGTAGTCCAGTCATATGCAAATATTTTTAAGCTGTCCATAGAAGCATTGATGATCCTATAAGATTGTTCATTTTATTATGAAGACACAACATAAATTGAAATTTTTTAGGATTTTTTGGGTAGTCTTATTATATATATATTTTTTTTTCTTATTATTATTATAATATATATATATATATTTTCGACACTCTGGTTTGATCAACTTTTTTTGTACTCACTGCAGAAGGAAACGTAATGCTCGAGCCGGACATGAACATTCTCAATATGCGAAGAAAATCCGTGGTCGCAAGGCTAAATTGTATCACAAAAAGCGGTATGCTGAAAAGGTTTGTTTGTTCATCATTTTCAAATTCTGATCTTAAAGTTAGAAACTGTTGAAAATTTTGATTTTATTTTATTTTTTAGGTAGAAATGCGGCGGTTGTTACGACAACATGAGGAGAAAAAGCAAACAGGAACAAGCGAAGAACCTGAAAGAGGTGTAGTACCAGCATATTTGTTAGACAGGAAACAACAAACAACCGGTAAAGTACTGTCATCAATGATCAAGCAGAAACGAAAAGAAAAAGCGGTATGTGAATCTCTCTGTGTTTGTTTTTCATTTCGGTTTTTGATAGTACTTGCAAACTTCCAGATGTTCCGGAGATAGTGCTTTATTGGTTTCATAGTTTATTTCTCTGTTAGTATAGAGAAATCTTGAAAACCTCCTGGTAAATCAACTGAAATGTTTTACTATTTCAAAGTTTATCAGAAGTAATTATTTTCTAGGGTAAATACCAAGTACCTATACCAACGGTTAAAGCAGTCAGTGATGCAGAAGCTTTCAAAGTAGTGAAAACTGGTAAGACTCGTCGGAAAGGGTGGAAACGTATGGTTACGAAAGTTACTTTTGTTGGTGAATCATTTACGAGAAAGCCGGCGAAATTTGAACGATTCATTCGACCGATGGGTTTGCGATTCAAAAAGGTAAACTTTTCTCGTCGTATAGAATTTTAATAATGATTTTGTTTCCCTTCCAGAAGTTTCCTTTTCACTAGTTCTCTGTTATCCTAGGAAAATTGTTGATTAGAAAATTGTTTATGAAAAACATCAGGAAAGAAAAAATTATAGTATGCAGTATGTGTTTCTATAAAAAATTAATTCTTTCATTTTTTTCGATCTTTTCCTCAACTGATTTTCCAGTAAGAGTAGCTCAAATGTAAATACAATTTTTTATAGGCTCATGTAACACATCCAGAGTTACAAACTACATTTCAATTACCTATTGTTGGAGTGAAGAAAAACCCTTCTTCCTCACTGTACACATCACTGGGAGTTATTACAAAAGGAACGATCATTGAAGTAAGGATTGATACTTTTCTAATTTCAATGCCTGGCATTTATTTGCTTTTTAAGTTTTTCAAGTCGTAGAATCGAAATTATTTTTATTTTTTAAATCACAGAATCGCAATTAACTTTTGCATGAGAATTTATTTAGAAAGCATTTTCCTATTATTTGTTGATATTATAGTGTCTGATTATTATTTAACATCCAATGTATTTTTTTTTCTACACAGCTGTTTAATAATCTTTGAAAATAAATTTCAGGTAAATATATCGGAACTTGGTGTGGTTACTCAAGGCGGTAAAGTAGTATGGGCAAAATATGCTCAAGTAACAAATTGCCCTGAAAATGATGGCTGTATTAATGCTGTATTATTGTTGTGATTCTTTTATAATGAAATAAAATCATTTGAATGGAATATTTCTATTCTTTCACTTTTGTCATTGATTATTTACTCTCGGAAGATATTAAAATTCTTCGATCCATCAGTTTGAATATTAAATCTCAGGTGTTTTCTCGATTACTGCAACAACTGTGTTATCAAATGGCGTATTTTGATAATGACTATATAAAACTTCAGGAATATTCGGTGTATTTATTTGGAATTGGGTTTTATTTCTTTTCTTTTCATTTATTTTTGGTCTTAAACATACTGTTGTATCATGCAGTTTATTTAGCATTGAATTTCCTAGCAAGTATTGATTTTTAGTTTCTTTTCGTTACGTAAAATTATATTAATGATGCCTTCCTACTGCAGTGGATAAGTTGGTACTGTGATACCAGGTTACTGGTGCGAAAAGAAATTGTGGGAGAATTTATTTACAGGTGCCTATTTTTTCAATGCTTCAGGGGTTTTCAGTACGTTAAGTCGAAGAATCAGTCGGCAACTCTATATAAACATTACGAACATTTTGAAGGTAGATGACTTATATACATTATGGTAATGTATGTATTCCGAAACCATAATTCTCTTACTAAAAAGATACTTTTTAGGTAATTTTCGATGGATGAAGCAACTGAAATTGCTGATGAAGCATGGCTCTCGAAGAATCCCGAACCATTTAAGCAGGGAGCTGAAGCTTGTTTATATCGTTGTGTGTATTTTGGCCGGAAAGCGGTTATGAAAGAACGATTCGTTAAAACGTACAGGTATGAAGAGAAAGTAAATACCTAATCGTCAATTTTTATAGAAACTTCAACCTTGTTTAGTTTAAGGAGAATTGCTTGTGAAAAATTGAACTTGTTCTAGGAAGTTTATTTTTGTTATCCAAAATATATTACTTTTGATCAGGATTTTAAAATTAGATGACACTATTCCAGGCATCCATCGTTGGACATAATATTGACGAAAGAACGTATGAAAGCTGAACTAAATGCTTTGTATAAGTGTAAAACGGTTAGAATCTTTATATATATATATATATATTGTTCTGAATAAAATCTTTTTTATATTGATTTGAGAAGCTTTATATTGATGTCCTGAATAAAGAATATAAATATATTTCTTTTGCTGGATATGATAAAACTGTGAGATGTTTTACATCTGAAGGTCAATAACTTATTTTTCCTTAATGAAACTTGATTATATTTAGATGGGAGTTGACGTACCTACGGTATACTTTGTAAATATTGATCGAAATTTTTTTATTATGGAAGAGATTACCAGTGATATCACTGCTCGACAGTTTATTGAAGATTTTAAGAATAAAAGTAACTTTAAGGTATAACAGATTTATTTTCCTTTCTGAAGTTTAAAAAAAAAATTTCCTTTAATTTTTTTTTCTTCTCGGATTCAGCTGATTATTTTAGATATTTTCGACTTCCCGGATTCAGCTGATTATTTTAGATATTTGGTTTGGAACGTTATTCTTTAGTTAAATTAAATAAAGTGGCGATAAATAATGGCATATTTCAGGAAATAATTACCGACTTTGCTATACGATTAGGTCAAATTATAGCGAAGCTACACCTTGGCGGTATTATGCATGGTGATTTGACAACGTCTAATGTACTTCTTCGAAATGGAAACCCTAAAATGATTGTTTTCATTGATTTTGGCCTTGCTGAGGTAAAATTATAAGCTCCGCTATATTTCCATAAATTATGGACAAAAATTTAGTTTTAACACGTTTAAGATTCAAATATTGATCAAATTATTTATTGAATACTTATTAAAAACAGAAGTTACAAAATGAGATAGAAAACATAATTTGTTTAATCGAGCCATAAAATTTGCAAAATCATAAAGTTTCCAATATATCGAAATTTGTTTTTTTAATTAAAAAAAAAAAGACAACAAAATTCGGTTGAAATTTAATCGGTATTTTGGTAGTTCTCAACAGAATTCTAAGAAATCCGAAAACAAAGGATCTAGTATAAAATAATTTTGTGCAGGGTAATGCAACAGTGGAAAGTAAAGGTGTTGATTTGTATGTATTGGAACGAGCTATCTTAAGTACACATTCTGAAGCGAAATTTTTCTTCGATAGTATTATGAAAGGATATGAATTATTCAACAGGAAACAGTACGATTCAGTTAATAAAAAACTTCAAGAAATCGAAAGGCGAGGAAGGAAGCGTGAAATGTTAGGATAGCTTTATTCTGTTGTTGATAATGATTTTTTAAATATTTATGTCTTTTTTTTTAAATAAATGATTTGGCGTTCTTTCTTAAAATACATGCCAAAGTTCTCGTCATGAGGTGCAATTTGATTAATTTTATTTGCTTTTACGTTTTGTAACATATTGAAGCATGGAATAACTCGGAATTTTATCATTCTTGATCAGTTCATCAAATTCAATAGTACTTAGAATCTGGAACTAGTTTGAAGATTTTAATCCATTTGAAATTCATATGAAAGACTTGATATTTAAATTTGAGAGTAAAAAGGACTAGGTAAAAGTTATGAGAAGCGGTGAAATTTTGAGAGCAAACGGAGGAATTGTCCAGCAAATTCACGCACTCGCACATTAGATGAACCGGATATAAGTATTGCTGCATTTTCATAAATTATAGGTAAGAATTTCTCGAATTGTTCATTTTCTTCACGTAAGAGTGCTTCCAGGATTGCCAAAGACATTTCAGTCCATGCGCAACATCGTATTTCGCCATCCTGCAAGTGCTCATTTTAAATGAAAGTATGCAATAAGTAGGATTAAGATAGAGTGGAAAGTACAATTTAATATGCTGGCTTACTTTTAGCTGTAGTATTAAAGAATTTAATAATTTCTATAATAAAAGACTTCATGTGGTGTTTTGAAAAATTTTTTGGTTTAATTTTTTAAAAATGGAAATGTAACAGTAGATAATTGTAGGATATAGCCTTATCAATTTGAATTACATTAGTTAATTCTTTTTCTAATTAATAAAATGGGAAAATTGTAGCTTAAATTTTTATTACGTCTCTAATTTAGTTAGTGCTATATATCACAGCTATATAAATTTAGCTATATAAATTTCATGCTTAAACTATTTCCTATTCCACAGTAAGGGATTTTATTCCAATCAGAAATAAAAGGTTATTTTATTCTATTAATCTATTTACTTTTTTTTTTTATTCTAATTAATAAGATGTTAGAGAAATCTTAAGTTATTAATGTATAACTTACAGAAAGAAATAGTTTGTCCTCCGCAATGGTTTGCTGTCGTTCGTTATCATTTTTAAATGGATTACCTCGTTTTGTTGGTACTAATGTTTGAGCAAATTTTGAACGTTTATAATCAGAAATGATTTCGGTAGTTTGCTCAGAAGATACCAATTTGTATAAATTTTCATCCATTGCATCGTTACGAATGAGAGTAATTTGCTGAAATTTCAAAAAAAAAAAAATCAAAAATTATAAATTTAGTTTCAAAAATACATATGTATTTCATATTCTTATGATATTGTCGTATTTTTTAAGGTATTCTGAGAATTCATTTTAGATGAAATATTTATTTAAATATTGATCAGTTTAAAATTTAACACAACTTGGCATAACAAAATTTTCATTTTCTTAATATACCAACCGGAGTAATATGTGAAATAGCCAAATGACGTAGTGCTTCTGTTGATATTTTTTTCTCTAAACAACATAAATATGTGCATACTTCACGATGACATAATTGAAATTGTTTGATATAATATTTGTCATCTTTTATGCTTCCATTTGATGACAATAAATATTCAACAATTGTTTCTCTGCAAAATTAAAAAAAAAAAATATTTGTAATGCAAAAGGAGGCAAAAGTATGATTATTGTTAGCCGATGATATTTTTCTACATTTTACTTCCTAACTATTTATCTCTCTTCTCTTCGAAATAAAAAATAATTAGATATTAATTTGAAAGAAAAAAATGGCTAACTTAAAGAATAAATAATAAATACAAACTTTTCCAGTGGACATTTTCGCACTATCTCATACATTGCTAATGAACGTATTGTCCAAGCTAAAACTGCTTGTTTGCACAGATTTGGAAGTACAGGAAAGTCATATAATCCTTGGATAAGCATTTTTAGGCCTAAACGCTTATCAAAATTTCTTGCAACTAAAAATGATCCATCTAAACAGTAAAACAGGATGGTAATATCATCAGGTGACAGCTTATGCAAATTACCTGAAAAAAAAAATTTTTTTTTCTAAATTCCGACTTTTTTAAAGCATAATTTGGAATATGATATTTTATTAGAATATGATATTTTATTTTAAAAATGTTTTGAGAAATTATTAAAATTGAAAGGATTAGACAGAAACCAACATTTATTGTCACTTTCAGTTTGCTCATCAAATTTCTTCAAAAATGCAACAGTTTGTTCATTTACTGGCAAATCGATCCCATTTAGTAATAAAATACCAATTAATTCCAAAATACAATAATGGCTGGTAAGGATGCTAATCAGTTCATCACCAATAATCCTGAAATTTTAATAAATAGTAATTAATTAAAGTTGAAAATTAGTTAACAAACCTTTGTTCTGTTCCATCGTTATTACAAAGCACCACTTCACGTTTCTTCGTTTCCTCTAGTTCTGTCGTTGAACTGATCTGTTCATCCATCAAAAAGATCTACAATTAAAGTCAATTATGATTCAAGATCAGAATGAAATAGAATTAGAATTGCATTGGAATAATTTTATAATTAATCACTATTTAAAAAAATAATTAATAACAGTAATAATGATAAACGATAATTAATGTTTCATAATAATAATAACACTAATAATAACGATATAATAATAGTGTTAATAACAACAATAATAATATTAATAAAATAACAATATTTTTATTTAAACGAAACAAAAAGGTAAGCTTTGAGAACTGAATTGATACAAATTTGAAAAAAATAATTGATAATTTAATTTAATAAAATATACTTTGAAGTAAGCTAACCTGTTGAGCTAATAGTAACGTTTCGCATGAGAAATTAGAATTCTCGACAGCAGCTATGCAAACGTTACCAAGGTCTCCGTTTGGATCATTTGAATCAACGACATAGTATTGCATTAAAAATCGCAAATGCGCCAAAGTTAAACTTCTAAAATGTAAAAATTTGATACTTCAAAATAATTTAGAAACATGAAATTTTTTTTATAAATTATTGATTATTGAAAAATGAAAAAATCATTAAAATGTATCAAATTTATAAAAAAAATTTTTCTTCAAGAAAAGTATGTGAGAAGAAAAATGAAATCTAAATATTAACTTTTATGAATATAAAAGTATAGTCAGTTATATTCCTAAAATATACTTCAAATCATGTGTGATCTCTAAAATTGAAGTATTGCAAGGGAAGGTTGACTTTACAGAAACTGAATAGATTTATAAAGATTAAAAAAATTCAAATTTTTTTTTGATCAAACTTACGTTGCATTCCATAATGACCGTATGATAATTGTCCATCTTTCGGTTGTTAATGAATGAATGGAAGATTTAATCAGAAATTTTAAACATGCGTAACCTAAGCGTGAAATACGATTCGTAGTACACGTAATACATTCCGTTAACAAAATTAACATATCAAAAAGTATTCGATTAACCCATGGATTATCTAGAAAATGAATCTTTTATTACGAATGATAAATATATTTAACATTCTAAATTACAAAAAAAAGCATTCAGATTACTAGCAAATTTTGTTTTTTTAAATTCATTATCAAAATGTTAGAATGTAGAATTGCTGTGAAAAAGAAAATAATAAATGATAAGATTGTTTTTTTTTTTTTTTTTTGAAAATTTACTGTACTTTCGGTTTGTATTAAATATTGTTTGACAATTTCAGTAAACAGTCCAATTGCTTGTTTCAAATTATTTTCATGTTTTGCCGCATCTTTACGCATCCATTGTTGTAACATTGGAAAGACAAGAATTGATAAACCGTATGCACCGAAATTAATACCTAGAAAATTAAAAATGTAAATATTATTAATAATCTCAAATGTTTCCACAGTTTTAATTTATCTTCCATTATTTATTTTTTTTTTTCATAACATTAAAATTCTATAGTTAAGAAAATTTTAATAGTACGAAATACTTGTAAAAGTATACCAAATTTAGTATCCACTTGCTCTTTGATCAATTCAGCGATAGTTCGCAATAAATTTGATTGTAATGATGCAGGACAAACAAAGGTGACAGCTATGAGACCTTCCAGTAACGATAAGTAAACTTCAGTACAACTTCTTCTTGATGCCGTATAATTTTTCCAAGGTATAATTAATTCTGGCGCTAATAAATTTTACATATCATTTATACATTCAAAATTTAATTCTTTCGAAATCTAAAATTTATGTGTTCCATTTTTTTAAAGTGAATTTAATAAATTGAATTACATCTTATCATTCAAAATTATGAATAAAAAAAAAGATAAAAAAAATGAAACAAACTTTCAAGTAAACGATCAAGATCAGTTGGTGGAATTTTTTGTTCAATATCAAAAAAAAATGGTTCTTCAATGAGGACAGTTGACAGTGGTTCCATTAAAAATGATATATTTAAGTATCGATCAACAGAATGCTGCGTTCGTTCACGTAATGTTAATCTGAAAAATGAACAAATCATAATTGCATGAAATATTTCAAATAATCTTTGTGACAAATATATTTTGCATGTCAAAAATTTTTGCAAATGTTAGAGCGAACGATTTAATATATTCTATTTTTATTGATAAAACAAAACACATCAAATTTTTTCGAAATTTCATTTCTTTCAAATTTTATTTTAATTTCAGCTTTATCAGAGGAAGGAAAAAAAGCAAAGAACACCTTTGCAGTAAATGTTGATCACTACAATCAGCCGAATCGAATAGATTATGAAGCATTCGTTCCATTTTTAACAAATTTTGTAAAGCTGCTGAAGCCATCGTTACATTGGATGATGGAATCGATTCTATGATATAAATAAATTTTAATTTTAAACTAAAATTTGTATGATTTGTTATGAGATTTAAAAGCATTTCTTGAAGGCATGTTATAGATTTAAAAAAAAAAAAAATAAACTGAAAACTAGTCTCTCAATAACTTCATAACTTGATGACTAAAACGCGGTACTCTAATAACAAAATACTTAATAATTTTTGTCATATTCTTACTCAATAACTCGAAAACTTTACTACTTG